ACACACACACACACACACACAAATACTACACTCACTATATACTTCATTACAGTGGGTCCCCAGAGTTGTGGGGCCACCCCTGTGTCAGGGTCATACAGCTAGTTTAAGTTGACAGAACTTGGATGTACACCCAGGTCTGTGAACGTCCAAAGGCCTAGCTGACCCATTGCCAAGATACCTCAGTTCTGCTGGGACTTTCTAGGCCACACAGACAGAGTGCCTAGTTAGAGGAAGCTAGATAGGAAGGTGAAAATGCCATAGGCCTGCAGTCAAAGCTGACCCTGTCTGTTGGGTGAACGATATCTACTGCTGTGGGCAAAAGTGAAAAGGATTGGCAATCAGTACTTTCATTTGGTTTAATTTTGAATAGTGAGCAATTGGATTTTGATTATTTCACATTTTTTTTTTTTGCTTTAGTATCTTCAATGATAAAACAATGAAGCTGATTGTAACACCTTCAGTTTTAACTATTGGGTGGAGGCAGGAGGATAGGGAGTTCAAGGCCAGCCTTTGCTGCATACGAAATTTGAGGCCAGCCTGGGCTACATAAGACACTGTATTTAAAAACAACAAACAAATAAATGTTAGTAATAATAGGAGATGGGTCATGAAAATCATATGCTATTTCCCATTCTCATCAAGGGAGTATATTTTGTATTCTTGGGACTAGTTTTACTGGGAAGGACATTGGCTTTATTGAATAAGCATTTCTGTGGGTCTGGGGAAGGAAGGGCTCAGCAGTTAGCAAAGCTCCTCAGTCCAGCACAAAAAGCAGTCACCGCCCTTGTACCTTCTCGTGGTTTCTGCAAGGAAGCCAGCAACAGGGCTGCAGCCTCTGGTAGAGTCAGGAGCTGAAGATGTGGGGTTCGTCTTTCTGGAGAAAGAGACATGTACACAATCTTGATATTCATATAATCAAACCATCACTTAAATGTTCATGTCAATTAAACACTGCAAATAGATTAGCACTCACATATTTATGTCAACTAAACATTCATGTAAATGAAACTTACCAGAAAGGCCTCTGTGAACCCGACTCTTGATCCGTGAGCAGAGTACAGTACATACTGATTTTCAAAAATGAATTTAACATTTATATTGCATTTTATTTAGTCCATTCCTCTGTCGTGTGTGTGTGTGTGTGTGTGTGTGTGTGTGTGTGTGTGTGTGTGCATATACCCACACTTGTGTGGAGACAATCCTGGGGAGTCGTCTCTCTCCTTCCATATATAGGTTGGAGGGATTGGATTTAGGCAGAAAGGTTTGGTGGCAATGCCTTTACCTGCTGATCAATCTCATTGGCCTCATGGTGATCTTCATAAATTGAGACATCATATTTCTCTTGGAAATGACTTCCAATTGTTTTTGCTGTGTTTATATTCGGGGATGGAGGAAGAATGCACACCTCATGCTGGGGAGTACACCACAGAAGAAAGACGGAGTAGAACAGCATCTTCAGCTTTCCCTCTTTGGGGCGAGAAGGGGTAAATTTTCCCTCTCATAGCTTAAAAACAGCTGTCGGGGCCAAAGGATTCAGGCAGGAGTCCATTAGAGCCTGACTGTCCTACTTTCCTCCTCCCAAATCAGTTTGAGATAAACATTGAGATAAAAAAATACATTCTTGACCACACATAAGGTCATTAACTGACTGAAGATACATTTGCTAAGTATTTGGAGCTATTTCGAACTCCTTAAGTCACATGTTTATTGCACCACAGGTGTATTCTGCCACACTCTACTTCAAATTTAAGTTGACAGGTGACACAGGCCCAATTCAGTGCAGATGTTGAGTTTAATTGGAAGTAACAGAAAGAGAAGAAGCATATTTTACTCTTACAAAATACGATCAAGCACACTGCAAACTTGAGGAACAGAGTCGAAAACCTGTGAAGCATCTGTTGTATGTTCAGCAGTGTTGAAGATTTCTCATAACAGGCATAACGTTTATTCTTAGCATTTGTAAACAAAGTTTTACTAAAATCAATATCTCTTCTTTTTAAACTGCAGTAACATGAAGTTCATCAAGGAAAAAAAAAAGGTTCCTGACCCTATTTTTCTTTTTCTTTTTGTTTTTTTGAGAATTCCATACATCATGAGTACTACATCATTTCCACTCTCTCTGTCCCCCAACTCTTCCTATTCCCCCTTTCAAATTCATGCCTTTTTCTTTATTATTGTGCGCGCACATGCACATGCACATGCACATGCACGCGCACACCCCCCCACCCCCTGCTGAGTCATCTAGTGTTACTCATGTGTACAATTATTTAGGGCTGACCACTTGGGGTGGCTGGCTTAACCGGAGCTTGTCCCTGGAGAAAACTGACCTTCCCTTTGTCATTCATACCTGGCTCTATTTTTAATGACTTTTACTTGCTGTGTTTGGTTTAATTAGTGTTTAGGAGGAAAAAGAGCGAGGCTCTATCCATAAACACATGGGTGGACTTCTTGAACCAGCACAATCTCCATCTCTCCGCCCTGTCTGCACCTCAGACCCTGCCTGATGGGGGGCCCGGCTCACCAGCTGCCTGCTGGGGGTGGGGGTGGGGGTAGGGGTAGGGGTGTGGGTAGGGAGGTGACAGCGCAGGTGGAGCCCTCCCAAGGGCTCAGCGCTGACCCACCTGGAGGCAGCCGGTCTGCGAGCTCCTTCCTGCGGCTCTGGTCGGAGATGAAGCGGCGGCCCTCTGCTGGGGAGACACGGGCTGAGCTCGGACCGCCAGGCCAAACCCCACTCCCCGAACCCCCCACCTCCCGCCCCAGGCCAGGGGAGACCGCAGGTTGAGGCCTGGGAGGTGACCCTGCTTCAGAGAGCAGCCTCAGCCGGGTTCGAGCATCCCTTTCCCTTCCCTTCCTCCCCTCACAATTCCTAACTTTTTTTTCAAGCTCATTAGTTGCTCCTCCAGCCCCAGACACCCTGTTTGCGCAACGAAACAAAAAACAACAGCCAAACCCAGTTGTTCTCTCATTTAACCAAAGGATGCACGCCCCTTCCTCTTCCTTCCTTGTTTCCCTTTCTCCTTTCCTCCCTTTTGCCTTCCTCCCCCTTTCTTGAACGCTTCTTTTCTCGTTCTTCCCCCCCTCGTCACTCCTTCCAACTTCCCTAACAGGATCTTACACTGACCTGAAACTTACTATGTAGCCCGAGCTAGCCTCCTGCTCGCAGTTCCCCTGCCTCAGCTTCCAGTGCTGGGGTTACAGCTGTGAGCCCCGACACTGGGTTCCTCTCTGGTGGAGGGTTTCTGGCCATCAGGGAACCTTTCCCTGCTCTTGTCTGCGACCCTACTTATTTCCTGGAGCCAACTGCTACACAGACTCCCCAGGCTCCTGCTCTGTGGCTTCCAGGGTTCCCCGGGTGTCTCCCATCACCTCGGTGAAGAGAATGAAGAGTTTGGGACTCACGTGCGCCCTTCAGGTAGAGCATAGCTTGGGGAGTCCAGTTCCTCCTCTCAAAGAGTCTCTGCCGCCCAGAGGGGAGAGAAGAGCAGTTAGCGCACGGCAGAAGGAAGAAAAAGCCTGAGGCCGCACAGTTCCCGCCAGGGCTGGATTCTGTGCATGCGATTACCTGCGGAGCGCCGCTGGAGTTTCCCAGGACCGACAGCGCCAGGAGCAGGGCCAAGGCTGTCACCGCCAGGTTGCTGGGGCCCTACAAGAAACATCAACCAAACAGGTCCATCTGAATTTCGTCGGATTTTCTGCCTTCTACTCAGACAGGACAATAAGCTCTTCACTTCAGTATATGATCCTACCGTCTAGATAATCCACAAAGAGTAATTTTAAAAACTAGAAATACACGATTTTCACAACGTCACCCAAATAAAGAATTGGGGAATAAGTTATTTTACTCAGCAAAGACAAATGATTTCACTATTTAAAGGCATATTCTTCAAATGTCCTGTCATAAAACGCTCGTTAACTATAACCTAGGTAGGAAGATGAACGCTTCGCAGAACAGGTGTCAGCCGCACACAGGTCTGCTGCTTACCTTCATGTTCTGGCCCTTTCCAGTGCCCCACAATCGCTGTCACTCTACCTCGGAGTCTGCTAATCCCGTTGCAACCTGGGGCTTTAAAACTCTTAGCGTGAGTCTGCAAGGGGAGCAGAGACCACGAGGCAGCTTGTCAATCTTCAGAACGGAGCTGGTCTGATGACTCCTCTGGGGAGATCTAGTTGGCCGAAATAGAACAATGATTGATGAGCGGATATCGTTTGTTTAGGTATTGGCCACACCAGCCAGGAGACATTCTGAGTGTACCAGCCTCATCACCTTTGTCTTTCCTGTTAGCCGCCCAATGCAGTCTATCATCATCATTATTAATGAAAACAAACGGAAAATGCACGGAGCTGTGGCTGAAGATGAATCACCCTGGTGAGCATGAAAAGGTTAGGGGACCTCAGAGGAACTTGACATCACTCAAGATCTGTCTAGTCAATGTTTTAATAAATATGTGATGGACGTTCACCTCCTACCACAAACCCTCCTTTAACTAAAGCATCCCCCTTGGTCTTCTAGTTAGAGGGGACTACCTCTAAGCTATTGGCACAACGCTGCTGCTGAGGTTAGTAAGTAAAGGCAGCCAGGATGACATTACAGGGGGAGTACTGGGCTACTTTAGAGAGAGTGAAAGTCAAAGGGGATCAGCAAGATGAGATCCCAGGGGATGTGGAAATGATATTCCAGTTACTCACTGCACACAAATGAAAAGGAAAACAGAGAGACAGCAAATAGTTTGGTTTATTCGAGGCAGAAAAGGCAGTAACGCTGTGGGGGTGCAGGGACAGGTGCCTGGCACTGGCTAAGACATATTTTCATTGTGGTCACAATCAAAAGGCTGTGATGGCAGGCTAGAGTGGCAAAGGATCGAAAGCTAGAAATGATTTTGGAGGTGGAAAACACAGGATTTGTGGGTAAACCAGACATGAGCTTATGAGAAAATAAGTCGGTCAAGAATGCTGCTTAGATTTTTGGCTCAAGCATGGATAAATGAAAGTTTACAGGAGCAACAGAGACTTCCTAAGGAAACAAATTATGAGCACACAGAAACAAAAATGCGTATTTGACATGCAAGTAGGAATGCAAAATAGGTGACAGGAAATGCCAGATTTGGGAGCCCAGCGAAGAGGCCATGAACTTAGCTTTTTCCTTTCTAAACAAAGGAGTGATCCACCATAGGAACTGTAAGAATTCTAAGAATTTAAAAGTGGAGGGAAGACTGGGCATGAATGAAGCTACCAACAAGAAGAAATGACAGAGCCATGGAAACAAGTGTACAGAAATTGAACAGGTAAAAAGATGCAGAAAAAGAGATGGAGGAGAGCAATCAGGAAAAAAGAAAGAAGGAAAAGAGTCCTTTCAGGGGGCCTTAGGTCAAACAGGTCAGAGAGTGTACAGTGATAGTGAGTGGCTGATGATGTGGTTCAGCAGGTAAAGGTGCTTACTGCCAAGTCAAGTTAATAACTTCAGTTTTATCCTGGGGACTTGCATGGTGGAAGAGGAGAAACGACGCCTGCAAAATTTCCTCTGACTGCATACATGGTGTTGTGCACACACACACACACACACACACACACACACACACACACAGAGAGAGAGAGAGAGAGAGAGCGAGAGCTTAAGCAAGATGAGGCACTAGCCAATGGATTTGGATGTATGATGCTGTCCAAGGGTAAAGGCAAAGTTGGAGTAGGTTAAATAGCAAATAAAATACAAGGAAATCAAAACAAGTGTTGACAACTTGCCAAAAAGTCACATTTTGGAGAGGAGAAATGATGACTCAGAGTATTCTAAGCTGTGGGTTGTGGGATTATGATGTTACTGGGTGGTGGAGTTTTTCTTCTTCTGTGTAGATAGCAAATGCCTCTCTACCTTTGTAGATTCTGCACCCCCAGGCTTCTCTAGCATGCATGCATATTTGATGGAGCCTCCAGCTGGGGCAGAAGGAGCTGCTGGTACAATGTTGTGTCAGTGTCAGCAGTGGATTCTAGAACTTAGTGGGTGTGATGTGATGGCCTTTCCTTTGTGTCTTTTTGTTTAGATCCGTTAGATTTGTCATTGTCTGTTGATAATAATCATTTGTAAGACTTAATCCTTCAAAGATAATCGGAGCAATTGATAACAGAGAGTAAAGATAAAGAAAAAAAAACTAAATGAATGTGTTGCAGAGTATTTGTTTACACTATCTGAAGATGTGTCACTGTGACTGGTTTAATAGAAAGCTGAACGGCCAATAGTTAGGCAGGAGAGATAGGCAGGATTTCTAGGAAGAGAGAGGAAGAGGAGGAGGAATCTAGGCGAGGATTACATCAGAAAGATTCTGGATATACAGCACAGAGCAGAGGTAATCAAGCCACGTGGCAGAATGGAGATGAATAGAAACAGGTTAATTTGATTATAAGAGTTAGTTGGGGGCCGGGCGGTGGTGGCGCACACCTTTAATCCCAGCACTTGGGAGGCAGAGCCAGGTGGATCTCTGTGAGTTCAAGGCCAGCTTGGGCTACCAAGTGAGTTCCAGGAAAGGCACAAAGCTACACAGAGAAACCCTGTCTCGAAAAAAAAAAAAAGAAAAAAAAAAAAAGTTAGTTGGGGACAAGCCTAAGCTAAAGGCCAAACTATCATAATTAATGAGTCTCCATGTCATTATTTCGGGGCTGGTGACCCAAAGATAGTCTGACAAGACAGCTTGCTACAAATGGCTGGGGAGATGGCTCAGGGGTTAAGAGCACATAGTACTCTTGCAGAGGACCTAGATTTGGTTCCCAGCATACACATTGGGCAGTGTACAACATACTGTAACTCCAGTTCCAGGGGATCCAATACCTCTTTTGGCCTCCATGGGCACCTGCACAGATGTGTTGCATACACAGACATGCAGGCTCCTGTATACACATAAATAATAATAATAATAAATCTTTAAGAATGTTGTAAAGAAAGGAGAGTACGGCAAGAGGGACAGGGGGTCAACTATGCTAGAATTCAACCCAACCAGCTCTGCACACAGAAAGATACTGGATGAAGACCTGAGCTCCACCCTACACACTCTACCAGCATGAAAGAAGAGTGTGAGAGATGGCTACTGTCAGTCCATGTAGCCTGCATGACACTACAGTGAAGTGATGTCCTGGTTTGGATCTCTAATGTTCCCCAAAGACCCCTGAGTTGAAAGTTTATTTCACAGAGTGGGAATTAAAGATGGCAGAGCCTTTCAGAGGGCCCAGTGGGGAGCCTCCGGTCTTTCTAGTGCACTCCTGACATGGAGAGTCAGAAGCCCAGTCTTCCTCTTCTTTTCCTTCCCTGCCATGTGAACAATCCTGCTCTGCTATAACGGGCTGACAGAAGCCTGAGGCTGTGTGTCTGTCTTAGTTAGGGTTTCTATTGCTATGAAGAGACACCATGACCACAGCAAATCTTATAAAGGAGAGCAGTTAATTGAGGTGGTAGTTTACAGTTTCAGAGGTTTAGTCCATTATCATGGTGACTGGGAGTATGGCAGTGTGCAGGCAGACATGTTGCTGGAGAAGGAGCTGAGGATTCTATATCTTGATCTAAAGGCAACAGGAAGTGAACTGAGATACTGGGCATAGCTTGAGCACATATGAGACCTCAAAGCCGGCCTTCACAGTGATCCACTTCTTCCAATGAGGTCACATCTCCTAATAATGCCAATCTCTTTCATGGCCATTTTTTTTTTTTTTTTCAAACCACCACATTCTACTCCCTGGTCCTCAAAGGCTTGTAGCCATAGCCATATCATAATGCAATAATGCATTTAGTACAATTTCAAAAGTCCCCATAGTCTACAACTGTCTCAAACTTATTTAAACATCAGCAGGATATATATGTGCATACACATACATATGCATATAACAAATATAATCAAAGAAAAAGAGGCTATCAACTTCAGAGTTAGGAACATGGAAGGAGTTTGAGGGAGGGCAGCTTAGAAGGGCTGGAGGGGAGGAAAGGGAAGGGAAGTGATATAATTCTATTTCAATTAAACACACTTATAGGAACAACAACAAAAAGGTAACCTCTCACTGGCATGCCAAAGCTTTGGACCTCATCAAATTGACAGTTGATCATCCATCAGAGCTAGCAAATGAGAATGGAAAACAGAGAGGAGTTCGTATTTAGGGATTTGTAGATCGTTCTTCCCATCAGAGCAGCCAGAGCTGCTGAAGTGGTGGCTTGTACCCACTGTCTTAGGAGACAGATTCAACCAGTGCTAGGGGCCAGGGAGCTGGCACAGGGGGTACAGCAATGCTTGGCAAACCTGAGGGCCCAAGGTTAATCTCCAGATTCCATAAGGTGAAAAGTTGTCTTCTGATCTCGACATGTATGCTGTGGCCCATGCGCTCTCCCCTCTTTCCCCTCCCTGACACAGGTAAGAAATGTAACAAAACATCTTTTAAAAAAACCACATGGAAGTTTTAGGAAGAGGAACAGGAAAATGAATCACCAAAAGAAACTCCCAGTCTAAGGAAGAATACATACACTCTTAGTTTATCTGGTGAATCCCTAAGTAGGTGTTTTACGTCAAAGCTGCCATTTTCCATTCTGTTGAAGAAATGGAAGAAATCGCTCTGACATATTATCAATATCATGGTCTCATCATAGCATGCCAGATGCTGCTCTGCAAAGCCGGACAGAGGGCACTGCCTCCAGGAACATACTGCTGCTACATCACAGGCTTTAAAGACAGATGGGGCCCCATTGTTTGGGTCAAAATACTGAACTTTCTTCTGCTGACAGTATGCACAAGCAGGTTGTCAATCAAATAGGCTCTGATGTCTTCCTTAAAGGTATATCCATTAGAGATCATTTTTCCTTTGTCACTAAGATAACTTGGATTTTGAAACCTGGCTCTGGGATTTCCAGGTTCCATTTGAACAACAATCACTTGTAACTGAGTGGCACCTGTCACTTGAGTGACATCCCTTCAAATTACATATATTTGAATTGATTGGATGCTCAGCCCAAGGTAGTCAGTACCTGTGCTTTCACATTGCTGAATTCAGAGATGCCTCACTGGTTCAAGGGCACAAGAAGAGGCGCTTAGATGTTCATTTTTTCCAGGAAGAAGACTCCTCACTCAGGCCTAGCCGCAACAGAAGCCTGATCTTTTGACCTTTGCCTAAATTTCCGGATTTACAGTTGTGTGCCAGCATGCCCAGCTAATGACTTCTTTAGACCCTGTAGAATCAGAGCTAAGACAAAGCATTACTGGGCCACACTATAGTCAGGACTGCATAGCTATCCTGCCCCAAATTTACCTGTTGAAACCCACATCAGCCTACCCAAGATTAACTGGGGATCCCTGGGCCCCTTTAGTCCCCTTCCCAATGCACATGGAGAGACATCTTCTGTCGCTGCTTTTCATAATTATCTTTTCAGTTGAGTATTGACACCAGCTGCCAGCCCAGTGTGTTGGCGCTGCCACAGCTGGGCTTTTGCATTACAACTCCAATCATAGCACCTCACCAGAAGGCTCAAGGCCCAAGGATTTGATTGCCTATCATAAACAGTTTTACATGCCAGAGATTGAAGCATACTGATATTTTCAGACACATTCACTTAGGGAGCAAGTTTACATCATTACTGAGGAGAATTCTTTATAGTATAATTACAAAGTCCTCCTCCGTCCCTTTATTTCACAATGGAAAGAGGGTGACCTGAGAACCAATGATTCACGCCCCCTTGGAGATGTCAAGAGGGACTTCCTGGCATCTCGCTTTCTTAGGGAAGAAAGGCTGCCCTTGGTGACCCATCCTCTCCAGTAACAAGTCATTTTGTGTGAAGGTCAGGATATTAAGCGGAGACTTCTACAGGGTTCACCTCATTCACTGTGGCTGACAGAGACATCTGCTTTCCAAAAACCTGACTTCAACGCATTAGGAGTTGGAGGGGACAGCAGCAACCTGATAATCACACTTTCATTCAACATTTACTGGCACCTGTGAAATGCCAGGGATGGATATACATAAGGGACTGGAGCCTTAAGAATCATTTACTACCAAATCAGTGTAAAAGTAGGAAGTGGAAAGGACCCAGAAGATCCAGCTGTCTTAGCCCAGCAGACATGAAGAGTTATGCTAGTGGCATTTAGTGAGGTCCTCACAACTGAGTAATATCACAGGAATGTACTGCAGCCAGTCAGTAACTTTCACACATCTGATGTCAGTAAACAATAGGACTGAAGTTGAAACTTTTGGGTCCTGGACAAGGTTTGAGAGATGTGCTAGATCATCATCTGTCCATCCATAATCATTTATTTATCTATAAATCATCTATCACCAATTACTGTGGAATAATCCTGTACACTGTGAAGATGTGTTGCTCTCATTGTTAATAAAGAGCTGATTCACTGATAAACAGGGTTTTCAGGGCAGAGTGGAGTCAGAGGAGTTGCCAGCAGATGAAGAGGGAGCGGGAGATGCTGGAGGACAGGTAAAGCCACGAGCCATGTGGCAACACATATATTGAAAGATATGGGTTAATTTAACTTATAAGAGCTAGTTAGGAACAAGCCTAAGCTATTGTCTGAGCTTGCATAATCAATGTCTCCTTGTCATGATTTGGGAGCTGGCTGGTGGGACAAGAAAAATCCACCTACAACCAATCCATCATTTATCAGTCAAGATAATGAATCATTATTTAGTCCAGGCTGACCATTAAGTCCTGGCAATCCTCCTATTTCAGCCTCTCAAGTGGTGAGATACTTAACAGACTGAAGACGTCCAGTTCCCAGTTACAACTGACTGCAATCAAGTTTTAATGCAGGACTCAGTAAATACTTACCAGGCTAGAGGTGCACTTTTTTTTTTTTTTTTTTTTTTTTTTTTTTTGCTTATAATAGAATTTATGATGAAAACACTATGGATGAAGACTCACAAATATTCAAATGTAATAAATTCCTTTTCCAGAAAAAAATATCATAAGCACTTTGAACTTAGAAATTAATCTCTACTCATGCTAGAATTTTTTAAATTCTGTAATTAATGGCAGCAACTGTAACAGGTTTCCCTCAAAAGCCTGGCTAAATGGAGTGACAGAAAAATCCAGAGCCAGCTTTTACATTGAGTAGCAGTGACAGTTCTGAATCTTGAGGTTTACAACAAAAACAAACAAAAGGATCGTCTGTCTCCTAACACCCATCCCTTCACCCTACAATAAATACATTTCTAGAATAGAAAAAAAACAAAAACAAACAAACAAACCTCCAATTAATGCCATAGCATTTTTTGTCCTCTAAAGATATTGTGATAATGTCACTGGGATCAACTAGGAGACACCTGTAGGCAAGCTTCTGAGACCATCTCCTGGAGGTTTGACTGAAGCAGGGACACCCTCAGGACTGACAGCTCCTTCCAGCAGCGGGCCAGGTCTGAGGGAAAGCAGCCGCTTTGCTGGCCCTCCTCTGCTGCTTCAGTCCTCCGCTGC